GAGTTTAGGTTCAAACCGTTAAGCAGCTGCAACGGAAACTATTATTATACCAAGATCTTGGAAACAACACGAGGTTTCAATCCACATTAACATGCCTCCTAAACAGTTTTAAAATAAACAAGACCCTTACTCGAATGTTCCTCTATTTCCACTTCAAAGGGGGCGGTCGGGTAGCCTAGTGGTTAAAGCGTTCGCTCGTCACGCCGAAGACCCGGGTTCGAATCCCGACATGGGTACAATGTGTGAAGCCCATTTCTGGTGTCCCCCGCCGTGATATTGCTGAAATATTGCTAAAAGCGGCGTAAAACCATACTCACTCACTCACTCCACTTCAAAGGAGTGTCCATTGTTCTTTACTTCGGGGTGATGCTCCTTCTCGAAGTCAATGTGCAGGTGATGTTCGTGGAGTTTGTGATCAAATTTAACCAATTCAGTTTCAATGTCGATAGGAGACTGGTGGTGTCCCCCTGCATTGGGGCATGTCAGGATCCAGTGGGTAGGTCCTTCAACAATAGAGAGGACTCGTGAGAGTAGCTCATGAGTGTGAGCGTGACCAAAACCAGACTCTGGTGATAATTTAAGGTTTGAAAGAAACACACTATTTCGAATGATTACATTTTTTTAAAATGTTCTGTTCACATCTATGTATGTATGTATTCAAATACAGCTAAGCAAGCTATAAGTGATAATTAAAGAATATAGTTTGAGCAAACAATTGAAAATATTAAAATGTGTTGTTGAATTATGATTAGGAGTAAAACAATTAAAGTCCTTACCGTCCTCAGCTCCGTAGCCGAATTCCATGATGATGTCCACGACGTGTGTTAGTCACTGAATACAGTGTGGCGTTTGTGGCTCCTATTTAAGCTACACAGAGGCCCCGCCCCCTTCACATGCGCAGGTATATCAGTATTCTGTTGCTGTTGGTTGGTACATGTTATTGGTGCAGGTTAGCAGTTGAAACCATAGTCGTGTTAAGTTCGCAATTACTATGCGCTTAATGTGTCAAACATACGAGATGCTTTGACATTTTTTAGGGAGGAATGTTTTAAATATGGTTCGTGTTGAACATGAATATATTTGCCCAAGTTTATGAAATAAGTGTTCCCCTGCAAAAAAATATCAGCCTTTGTCAATAGGTAATAATCCCGCTTTGATTAGTGATGAAGTCATTTCAGGGAGTGTGATCTTTAAATGGACCTGAGAAAGATATCATTTTTGATGACTTTAAAGGGGTCAATGTTGTCTGATCAAGGTTCAAATTTGGGTTAGCTTTCTCAGAATTAAACCAATACGGCAACTACGTACAGCAAAATGTGTCCTCGCAACAGCCAGAAGTGGGGAAACAAAGAAAGAAATAGAGGGACAAAGGAAGAACTAGAGAGGCAAAAATTAGAAGTAGTTGGACAATGGGAGAAATAGAGTCTAAGAAAGACAAACAAATTGAGACAAACAGAAACAAAGAAAGAAGTAGAGAGTCACAGGAAAGGGTAGCGGTGCAATAAAGAAGTAAAACGTCAATGGAAAATATGAGACATAAAGAAAGATGTAGCGGGTAATTAATATGGACAAAAAAGAAGCCGAAAAACAAAGAAAGAAGAAGAGAGAGAGAGAGGAAAAAGAAGAGAATAGAAGAAACATAGAGACGAGGAAAGAACTGGTGGGATAAAGAAATGAGTAACGAGGCAAAGGAAGGACGAGAGAGACATAGAAAGAAGTAGAGAGACAGAGTGAAGTAGAAGGACAATGAAATTAAGGATTTTCAGACCAAAAATCTATCCCCTTCAGCAAATGACCAATGTGGCCAACACAAATTACCATGCATCACTGTATTGTAGGTGTGTAGGATCAGACACATTTTGATATACACGTCTATTAAGTGTGGAAATGAGATAAAAATTGAGGTTACTATCTTTTTCATAATTCATCAATCAAAGTGAGGCCGTCTAATACTGACATACGATACCTCTGCTACCTGGTACTACACACTCCCACTTCAGCCAGTGAGTAAAACCAAGCACGAATTTACGCATTGCCTAGAAAGAGCTGTTTTGAGTGACGTGGTCTTAAATACCTGTCAGGGGCAAATATCTGATTCTATTAAACTCTCGTTGAGGTACATCAATGAACAATCTCAGTTACAAACGTTATTCCATCCAAATGTGTTAGTCAAATCAATTTCTCTCAAAACACAAAGGCTTGAATAAATGCTAACTTTGTTCAAAAGGCCATTGAGAGACTTGTGGTTTAGTAGGTAGGTGCTCGTGACACAATTTCAAAAGAGCTTACACGTGGTATATAATAGGCCAGCCCCTCTGACGCGACCATACAGATAATGAAACAGCGAATAAATTTGTCTGGGATGAAGCAATATATTCCGGGTTGTGACGTGTAGACCAATACATCCTCAGGAACGTGTACATTCAGCGCCAACACATGGTCCTTCAGGGTATAAAATAGACCACCTCATCCGATGCTACCATATAGATAACTAAATAACTAGTAAATGAGTCTGGGACGTGCAGACCAATACATAATCGAGAACCTGTACATTCAGCACATCATATACTCTAGACATAAACACCTCGCCATGGTGTGTGTGTTTCTAATCTCCAAGCTCAACTAGACAGGGATTAGGCGGACGAAGCTAAAAGAATATGTGATCTGTCTTTGCCTGAGAATACAACAAATAAGTTGTCCGTTTTTAAAACTGTAAAACAGCTTACGCATTTGAACGATGTTCATTGTTACGTTTCGACTTTCAAATTCAAACAGTAAGTTAACCCAGAAATCTGGTTACGCAAAAGAATTCATTGTGAAACCAAGAAACAACAAAGAAATGATACTAGTATACAGATTACAATCGTATTCAATAATTAACTAGGTAATTATATCAATAAAAAGTAATTACAATGAGAGTACACAATATAGTGGAATTCAATGGCAGTACAATCACGATGGACAACAACTTGATGTGAAATGAGTTTAGAATGCTCTTTATTACCATCGATGATTTTAATGAATTATCAACAGTCAGCCATATCTGTGTGGTCTGAGAATGATAACAAGTGAGTATGAATATATAATATGCCAAATGTAAACGCGGAGTTGTACAGAGTGTGGAGATCAGTAAGCGCTAGTTTGAATTATCATTACAAGACGCGTACACACGTGTTAGTATTACAAACAGATTCAAGAAGTCGTGGATGATTAAAACTGATGTTAGTCTAAAGTTACCACAAGACCAGTTTTATGTCTATAGATCAGACAGCGACAACATTACACCAGTACAATTTGTACAGCAAACAAATAAAAGTGGGCTTTTTAAAGTACTCATTTGGGGAGGTCAGCCTAGCAATGTGACTGGATTTTGAACAGAGATAGACATTTTTAACTTCACCTTTAATGTTAGTTTTTAAATATCTTGCATGTTCAAGCTAAAAGATACGAAACATGTCGTGAATAAATCTTCATCAAGAGGTAATCCTTCCAACTGAATCAGTGACAATGTCACCTAGAATGAAGTATCTCGTGGCAATGATATTTAGGCCGGATTGTCTTGTGACAATGTTACCTAGCCTAAACTGTCCTAGGACATTGGACACAAGCCGGGGCTATTACCTATAATAATCCATGCTAGATATCACAAGTCAGTGATGATGTATGTAGGGCTTGAATGAGGATCCCACATCGTGTAAATGTGGTTCACTCTGTAAGAAGTGCTTAAGTTGTTTTCCATCCTCTGGACTTTTTAAATTACCCTTTCCTGTGTTTTATTGCAAATGCTTTGGAGGAGACAATGTTAGTTTCACAACTGGTGTCTGATTTGTGTGTCATCGTACAATAACATATGTTTAAAACAACCTTAAGCTTGTCCAATATTGTCCTGACATCTTTGGAATTGATTACTAGTAATTCGGATCTTTTCAAGACCAACACTTAAGTGATAAATATCTGCGTTGTTTTGTGGTGATCCATTCTCAATCTCCTGAGCAAGTTCTCGTATCACAAATGTTATCGTACAAGAGTTCCGTACCTTACATAAAATGACTTGACCTATAGACATTAGAATAATCTACGTTTCAACATAATCCATTTCCCCACTGATACACTTTTGTCAACGATGTTGGAGGGATTTTATCCCAATTTCGAAAAGTCCTTCACTGGGCTGTTCAGAATGTTCTCCATGGCTGCTCTGACGTCATCGTTTGAATCAAAATGAGTTGTGGCTAAGGTGAGAGAATATCATCGCATCATCGCATTACACCAAAGCTACGCTCAGAATGTTTCTTCTTTATATGGAGAATGACAACAGAGACAATCAGCTTGATAAATATGTGTAAGACACCTAGCAGAGATTTCTCATGGTTATAGAAAAGGTTTTGTCACTCTTATGTACACATATATTTAGCAATATATCTCTGTTGTCTTTCTACATTTGTATCACAAAATTATATATTACATACACCCGTGTCAAATTAAGCATTTGAATAAAGTTATCAAATCGTGGTCAGTAGTCCATAAACTTGACACCTTTCAAGTATTTACTGCGAGAAATAGCGTTCCACCCAGTTTTGATTCGGGGTAAGTATAGAATCCACCAAGCGATGTTTGAAAATGGATCTGGTTATCAGGTTCTGTGATTTGGCTGATTGCATATCAACGCACCCTAATTGCATGGCTGAATCTTGAGGATGTCATTCACTGGACTGTCTGATTTGTACTGGAGTATTTAGAGATCACCATCATTTAGCTGAAATGTTGGCAACTGCGGCGTTACAGAACAAAAACGACTTGATTCAAATGAGTATGTCTGTTACAACATGTTGCCTGGGTGGTTGTGTGTCACTCTACCCTGCCGGGTAGTGTTGACGCATACTGGTTCATGTGATGATTAATAGTGCGGCGTGAAACAGCATTCACCCAACCGCTGGTTTCACACTATATACAAAATATACAGTAGAAATGTAGATACGTCGTTGTTAAACACAAAATCAATGGTTTTTTTGTAGACGTCTTTATTTAACTTTCTAATTGTGCATGTTGCAATACATCGTCTGAAGCAGCACCCAAGTCAGGGGTCATTGAATGGAAGGATAAGATTGGGATAATTTAGAGTATTCATTTTCTCTTTGTAATATTTTGGACATAATTCGTATGGCTTTACAGCACCACAATGCATTATTCTAATAAACATATAATATAGTAAACATTTCAAAACAGCTTCCTCGTGTGCTTTTAGTAGACACTAAAGTTGTATTTATCTGTAAATATGGGACCAGCTTTCATCTATGCTAGCAACAAATGTATTGGAATCTGGGTGAATGTTGTTTATCCGAGTAGCAACGCCTACATTCAACTCTCACAGATACAAGTGCTGGTGCAGTTTCTGCTGTTTATTCTAGCTATGGTATAGGGTTGACAATATTATATTAAAAACTTGAAGTGAATAGAGTAAACTAGTGTACATGTAGATAAACTACAGGTCCGATCCGATGTCCATCTCGATCCATTCACCGCATCATTTGAATGACGCTTTCACAACCCTGTCTCCAAGAGGCATGGTGGGCCGGAAGTTGTTTTCAAGGTGGCCGCCATCTGCATCTTTCAGATGTCTCAGACTCTTCAGCTGCAACCAAGGAGGTTAGTTTCAAAACAACACCGAATATATACCAGTTCGTTTTTGACGTGTCAACGTCTTTTTCTATGTGACCCATTAAAGGATACCAACTAACCAACACTTTTGATTAAGATGTGTTTACAGTTGGTATACTGTATACTTGTACATAAGCCATTTATTTATTTTCAGTTTCTGGTGTCTCTTACTATTTGTTTCACTGACAAAATAGAATACGATGGTGCGTTGTAAGTTAAGGAATGATATGTAAGATTACTGTGCCAGTGAAAACTCTTTTCACGTTACGGATCTCTGGTAATAAACCAATGCATTGTTGAAGTTTACATCAAGTACATACGGAGCTGTGAAAGTGGTCAGTTCTAATTGAGAAAATAATTCGTGTTTAACTAAGCTGACACAACATCACCTTATTCCCGGATACGACACTGAAAATACTGAACTGTTTGATAATTGTAGAAATAAGGAACAAACCTGGTGCTCAGACACGTGAATGGGTTCTGCCATTACTATCCACGTGACACTTTCCGACAAAGGGGGCGTGGTCAGAGATCCAGGGTAGGTATAGTACTTTGTTGTATCAGCTGCAAGACAACAGACATCAAATGTACATTTCGACAGCATTGTCAGTAAGGCCACTCACACACGTGGATACTTGACACACATAGTATTCCTGGGGGAATAGGCATCTAGTTAATTATCTTAGTTTTAAGATTCGCCCAGTCGACATGTGTCTGGTACATGGCATTCAACCACAAGTTTATCTGATGCACTCACTCACTCACTCACTTACTCAATCACGCACTCACTCACTCACCCACTGGCTCACATCATGCCAAAATTCTTCTGAAAGAACTTACATGGCAGCAGTTTAGATGGATGAAAACCATGCTTCATATGAGTGCTGGTGTGCGCTTTCTCGACTTTCGACATCAGTTGGCACAGTTTTTCGAATTCTTTATGTTCGTGTTTTCCTTCCTGAAATGTTAAATCCTAAATTAAGATGGAAAGCACGTGGATTTATAGAAATAGAATGGTTAAATTGGCATTTGTTTAAGTTTCATGTGTTCATTCACGAAACATGTTATATTTGGCTTTCAACTTTTCAACTTCGCTGAAGATAAGTTCAGACAGGTCTTACATTTTGCAAAGAAAGAATTGGTATACAATAATGAATACCATTGATTTGCAGCCTTAGATCAGTGAACATTGTGACATTCGTATCAAATTCATAGGTGACCATTTATCAACAGCTATTCACTATTTCAAGACTTACTTACTTATGTAACAGAACTTAGTGAAATAGTGAAACCAACGCCAAGGAAACAAAATACTGAAATAGTGTTCAACCTCGATGAAAACAGCAAGCACCGCCAGGCCGTCCTTCTTGGAAACAGCCTCCTTAAATGTTCCGTATTTCTTGGAGTCATAGGTCACGAAATGAAGCTGAAACATCATTGATAGTGTCGTTATTATCTTTCACATTATTCAGTTGCTATCAGAACAATTTAATATGTAAGGAGCAGAATCAACGCCAGAGAATTATCTGCCGAACCATGTTAATAATAGACTAAGTACACTTGCCGCAAATATGTTCCTCACCGTTATGTCAAGATACAAAACACCGGCATTAGTTTGAAGTTTATCAGTCATTAATAATACATGTCCTCTATGTGTTATCAGAGTAGAAGTCGAAGTATCAAATGCATTTCATTTCTGTTTGTTCAAACAGATGAGGTTTTGTCCTCCTAGATTGCTTGAACCACCCACCTCTGCGGCATGATGTTTCCCATCGACCGTATGTTCTGACCCGGTGTGGTCGGTGACTCCCCAGTGGAAGTGGAACTGCTTCAAATGGTATTCTTCTTTCTCGAGGATTCCACCAGTCAAAGCTTTAATAGTATAAAGTGTACACATGTATGGGAAGGAAACTAAAACAGATGTTGGTCATACTTACTGGCCTTAAAAGGAAGACATTAAGTAGTCATTGTGTAATATTTGTAACATGAACAAAAGCATAGATTGATTATTTAGATACTTTCTACATTTACGTGGAAACATTACTTTTTGAATACCAATAGCAGAGTTTAGGTTCAAACCGTTAAGCAGCTGCAAAGGAAACTATTATTATACCAAGATCTTGGAAACAACACGAGGTTTCAATCCACATTAACATGCCTCCTAAACAGTTTTTAAATGAACAAGACCCTTACTCGAATGTTCCTCTATTTCCACTTCAAAGGAGTGTCCATTGTTCTTTACTTCGGGGTGATGCTCCTTCTCGAAGTCAATGTGCAGGTGATGTTCGTGGAGTTTGTGATCAAATTTAACCAATTCAGTTTCAATGTCGATAGGAGACTGGTGGTGTCCCCCTGCATTGGGGCATGTCAGGATCCAGTGGGTAGGTCCTTCAACAATAGAGAGGACTCGTGAGAGTAGCTCATGAGTGTGAGCGTGACCATAACCAGACTCTGGTGATAATTTAAGGTTTGAAAGAAACACACTATTTCGAATGATTACATTTTTTTTAAATGTTCTGTTCACATCTATGTATGTATGTATTCAAATACAGCTAAGCAAGCTATAAGTGATAATTAAAGAATATAGTTTGAGCAAACAATTGAAAATATTAAAATGTGTTGTTGAATTATGATTAGGAGTAAAACAATTAAAGTCCTTACCGTCCTCAGCTCCGTAGCCGAATTCCATGATGATGTCCACGACGTGTGTTAGTCACTGAATACAGTGTGGCGTTTGTGGCTCCTATTTAAGCTACACAGAGGCCCCGCCCCCTTCACATGCGCAGGTATATCAGTATTCTGTTGCTGTTGGTTGGTACATGTTATTGGTGCAGGTTAGCAGTTGAAACCATAGTCGTGTTAAGTTCGCAATTACTATGCGCTTAATGTGTCAAACATACGAGATGCTTTGACATTTTTTAGGGAGGAATGTTTTAAATATGGTTCGTGTTGAACATGAATATATTTGCCCAAGTTTATGAAATAAGTGTTCCCCTGCAAAAAAATATCAGCCTTTGTCAATAGGTAATAATCCCGCTTTGATTAGTGATGAAGTCATTTCAGGGAGTGTGGTCTTTAAATGGACCTGAGAAAGATATCATTTTTGATGACTTTAAAGGGGTCAATGTTGTCTGATCAAGGTTCAAATTTGGGTTAGCTTTCTCAGAATTAAACCAATACGGCAACTACGTACAGCAAAATGTGTCCTCGCAACAGCCAGAAGCGGGGAAACAAAGAAAGAAATAGAGGGACAAAGGAAGAACTAGAGAGGCAAAAATTAGAAGTAGTTGGACAATGGGAGAAATAGAGTCTAAGAAAGACAAACAAATTGAGACAAACAGAAACAAAGAAAGAAGTAGAGAGTCACAGGAAAGGGTAGCGGTGCAATAAAGAAGTAAAACGTCAATGGAAAATATGAGACATAAAGAAAGATGTAGCGGGTAATTAATATGGACAAAAAAGAAGCCGAAAAACAAAGAAAGAAGAAGAGAGAGAGAGAGAGAGGAAAAAGAAGAGAATAGAAGAAACATAGAGACGAGGAAAGAACTGGTGGGATAAAGAAATGAGTAACGAGGCAAAGGAAGGACGAGAGAGACATAGAAAGAAGTAGAGAGACAAAGTGAAGTAGAAGGACAATGGAATCAAGGGTTTGGATGAGATAGAGTTATAAAGAAAGATTTGGAGAAAAACAAATAGAGAGATAAAGACAGAAGAAGAGAGACAGAGTGAAGTAGAAGGACAATGAAATTAAGGATTTTCAGACCAAAAATCTATCCCCTTCAGCAAATGACCAATGTGACCAACACAAATTACCATGCATCACTGTATTGTAGGTGTGTAGGATCAGACACATTTTGATATACGCGTCTATTAAGTGTGGAAATGAGATAAAAATTGAGGTTACTATCTTTTTCATAATTCATCAATCAAAGTGAGGCCGTCTAATACTGACATACGATACCTCTGCTACCTGGTACTACACACTCCCACTTCAGCCAGTGAGTAAAACCAAGCACGAATTTACGCATTGCCTAGAAAGAGCTGTTTTGAGTGACGTGGTCTTAAATACCTGTCAGGGGCAAATATCTGATTCTATTAAACTCTCGTTGAGGTACATCAATGAACAATCTCAGTTACAAACGTTATTCCATCCAAATGTGTTAGTCAAATCAATTTCTCTCAAAACACAAAGGCTTGAATAAATGCTAACTTTGTTCAAAAGGCCATTGAGAGACTTGTGGTTTAGTAGGTAGGTGCTCGTGACACAATTTCAAAAGAGCTTACACGTGGTATATAATAGGCCAGCCCCTCTGACGCGACCATACAGATAATGAAACAGCGAATAAATTTGTCTGGGATGAAGCAATATATAAACCGGGTTGTGACGTGTAGACCAATGCATCCTCAGGAACGTGTACATTCAGCGCCAACACATGGTCCTTCAGGGTATAAAATAGACCACCTCATCCGATGCTACCATATAGATAACTAAATAACTAGTAAATGAGTCTGGGACGTGCAGACCAATACATAATCGAGAACCTGTACATTCAGCACATCATATACTCTAGACATAAACACCTCGCCATGGTGTGTGTGTTTCTAATCTCCAAGCTCAACTAGACAGGGATTAGGCGGACGAAGCTAAAAGAATATGTGATCTGTCTTTGCCTGAGAATACAACAAATAAGTTGTCCGTTTTTAAAACTGTAAAACAGCTTACGCATTTGAACGATGTTCATTGTTACGTTTCGACTTTCAAATTCAAATAGTAAGTTAACCCAGAAATCTGGTTACGCAAAAGAATTCATTGTGAAACCAAGAAACAACAAAGAAATGATACTAGTATACAGATTACAATCGTATTCAATAATTAACTAGGTAATTATATCAATAAAAAGTAATTACAATGAGAGTACACAATATAGTGGAATTCAATGGCAGTACAATCACGATGGACAACAACTTGATGTGAAATGAGTTTAGAATGCTCTTTATTACCATCGATGATTTTAATGAATTATCAACAGTCAGCCATATCTGTGTGGTCTGAGAATGATAACAAGTGAGTATGCATATATAATATGCCAAATGTAAACGCGGAGTTGTACAGAGTGTGGAGATCAGTAAGCGCTAGTTTGAATTATCATTACAAGACGCGTACACACGTGTTAGTATTACAAACAGATTCAAGAAGTCGTGGATGATTAAAACTGATGTTAGTCTAAAGTTACCACAAGACCAGTTTTATGTCTATAGATCAGACAGCGACAACATTACACCAGTACAATTTGTACAGCAAACAAATAAAAGTGGGCTTTTTAAAGTACTCATTTGGGGAGGTCAGCCCAGCAATGTGACTGGATTTTGAACAGAGATAGACATTTTTAACTTCACCTTTAATGTTAGTTTTTAAATATCTTGCATGTTCAAGCTAAAAGATACGAAAGTCAGTTTACAATGCAATTCGAGACCCCTTCATTGTTAACTCTACACACTGCTCGTGGGTTTTACCGAAGTGGTAAACGTCTGAGACCTGCATCACTTTGGGCTTTCCTCCACATTAAGCTGACACGCCGCGATGTAACTGGAATACTGTTAAAAGCGGCGTTAAACCCAATTCACTCACTAACTCTCCACACATCTTTCCTACCTAAAACCCACAAACAGTGCTGTAGGGCAGCATCCGTCTATATTCAGTTTGTATACAAGGATTTTCACGTAACTGGTGCCCTTTGTTTGTCCATATTTCCAGTTGATCAGACAGCAGGCGATTCAACATGAAATAATATGTACATCTGTCTAGACTAACAATATCCACTTTTTTCATAAAACGTCTTTGTAGTTTATGATACAATAGTGTATTTTTGAAGTAAAGAGTATTGTTGTCGTGAATAAATCTTCATCAAGAGGTAATCCTTCCAACTGAATCAGTGACAATGTCACCTAGAATGAAGTATCTCGTGGCAATGATATCTAGGCCGGATTGTCTTGTGACAATGTTACCTAGCCTAAACTGTCCTAGGACATTGGACACAAGCCGGGGCTATTACCTATAATAATCCATGCTAGATATCACAAGTCAGTGATGATGTATGTAGGGCTTGAATGAGGATCCCACATCGTGTAAATGTGGTTCACTCTGTAAGAAGTGCTTAAGTTGTTTTCCATCCTCTGGACTTTTTAAATTACCCTTTCCTGTGTTTTATTGCAAATGCTTTGGAGGAGACAATGTTAGTTTCACAACTGGTGTCTGATTTGTGTGTCATCGTACAATAACATATGTTTAAAACAACCTTAAGCTTGTCCAATATTGTCCTGACATCTTTGGAATTGATTACTAGTAATTCGGATCTTTTCAAGACCAACACTTAAGTGATAAATATCTGCGTTGTTTTGTGGTGATCCATTCTCAATCTCCTGAGCAAGTTCTCGTATCACAAATGTTATCGTACAAGAGTTCCGTACCTTACATAAAATGACTTGACCTATAGACATTAGAATAATCTACGTTTCAACATAATCCATTTCCCCACTGATACACTTTTGTCAACGATGTTGGAGGGATTTTATCCCAATTTCGAAAAGTCCTTCTCTGGGCTGTTCAGAATGTTCTCCATGGCTGCTCTGACGTCATCGTTTGAATCAAAATGAGTTGTGGCTAAGGTGAGAGAATATCATCGCATCATCGCATTACACCAAAGCTACGCTCAGAATGTTTGTTCTTTATATGGAGAATGACAACAGAGACAATCAGCTTGATAAATATGTGTAAGACACCTAGCAGAGATTTCTCATGGTTATAGAAAAGGTTTTGTCACTCTTATGTACACATATATTTAGCAATATATCTCTGTTGTCTTTCTACATTTGTATCACAAAATTATATATTACATACACCCGTGTCAAATTAAGCATTTGAATAAAGTTATCAAATCGTGGTCAGTAGTCCATAAACTTGACACCTTTCAAGTATTTACTGCGAGAAATAGCGTTCCACCCAGTTTTGATTCGGGGTAAGTATAGAATCCACCAAGCGATGTTTGAAAATGGATCTGGTTATCAGGTTCTGTGATTTGGCTGATTGCATATCAACGCACCCTAATTGCATGGCTGAATCTTGAGGATGTCATTCACTGGACTGTCTGATTTGTACTGGAGTATTTAGAGATCACCATCATTTAGCTGAAATGTTGGCAACTGCGGCGTTACAGAACAAAAACGACTTGATTCAAATGAGTATGTCTGTTACAACATGTTGCCTGGGTGGTTGTGTGTCACTCTACCCTGCCGGGTAGTGTTGACGCATACTGGTTCATGTGATGATTAATAGTGCGGCGTGAAACAGCATTCACCCAACCGCTGGTTTCACACTATATACAAAATATACAGTAGAAATGTAGATACGTCGTTGTTAAACACAAAATCAATGGTTTTTTTGTAGACGTCTTTATTTAACTTTCTAATTGTGCATGTTGCAATACATCGTCTGAAGCAGCACCCAAGTCAGGGGTCATTGAATGGAAGGATAAGATTGGGATAATTTAGAGTATTCATTTTCTCTTTGTAATATTTTGGACATAATTCGTATGGCTTTACAGCACCACAATGCATTATTCTAATAAACATATAATATAGTAAACATTTCAAAACAGCTTCCTCGTGTGCTTTTAGTAGACACTAAAGTTGTATTTATCTGTAAATATGGGACCAGCTTTCATCTATG